ACGGAAAAGTTAGACGGAGAAATTAAGACGAAGAACCTATGGTTTACCGAATTTATATCAAGACGAGTTACCCGTCTGCGTCGAGTTTTGCGTCCCAGACGAAAATCCGTCTTCTGGTATTAAATTCGGCTACACTGAGCTCAAGCAAATTTAGTACTCTGCGACATATAATCCGCCTAGGGTTTTTTTTGTTGTTTTTTTTTATTTTTCGTGGTCGCAAGTGTGTTTTGGCGCGAAATTTACTAGTATTTGAAAAGTGTATGTGACCGTATTTATTTACGTCACAGTTTTGTCTCCCAAGAGTTGTGGTGCACAGCTCGAAATCTAGTTTTCGATGCGCGATTTGATTTCGCTCGCTCAATGGCGAATGGTGTTATTTTTTATTACTCCGCCTGCGTTTGCGCAGCGGAGTCTTAAAATGCCATGGTCTTTAATTTTTTGCTTGTAGTAGTCGTAGTTTTGGGCGACAGAAGTTGGCATTTCTACAGGTAACCCAAAACAACTTCATTTTTGACCGAGAAGCCCTGGGTTACACGGTCCACGGATGACTTATGTACATCAGTTGGCATGCAGGCGGAGTGAACGCCTTGAGCAGGCGTCTTGTTTGAAATAAAAATGCACACTTTGATGAAGTAGACACAATTCTTTTTTTTTCATGCTTATGTACTTGTCTATAATTTACATGCTAATATGCGTGTCAGACAATGTTCAGGCAATTTAGCTATCATTATAATTTATAAGTAATATCATGACATGTGGGAAATTAGTGATTAAATGCCTCGAAGGCGAGAGAGGTTTGTGGAATTACACAAACCTCCCGATCACTAATTTCCCACATGTCATGATATTACTTATAATGATAACTAAATTGCCTGAACATTGTCAGGCACGCATATTAGCATGTAAATTATAGACAAGTACATAAGCATGCAAATAAATGAATAAATGTGTCTATTTCATAAAAGTGTACATTTTTATTTCAAATAAAAAATAAAACCATTCGCCATTGGGCTGCCTATGGTTCAACGGAAAACACTAAGCAATTTCCCAGCAAGCTAAGGAATTTTATGATAAACACGCCTCTCACAATTTCATATAATGAAATAGGATGTTTCGCCGACCAGGAAGTAGGAAATTGTATCGAACTTTATAGAGAAATTTTTGGCTTGTAATATATAAAGAAACGTCTCTGTAAGTAACCTTATATCATTATTTTATATCTTTGGTTGGATTGATTATATACCACTATATGATGAGTATAATATTTCGAATCGAATTTCTTCGAAGCGTGAGCGGGCTGAGTCGTCTCTAGCCTACCGTTTATTAAGTAAAGGCACATTTACTAAAAAAACATTTCTATTTTTTGTCCAAAGGTAATAAAATCGTGGTGAAAGCCATTCCAGTATTAATATCATGTTGAGTTGAAAAACGATATCAATAATGCGAAAATGATATTTTTGTAATATTGCCATATATACTATGGGCCATTCCAAAAAAATCCACCCCCCCCCCGTTGACGAGGTTTTTCGTTTTTTCACCCCCTCGGAAGGGTTTTTTGCATCACCCCCATCAGAAACTCGAAAAAATTTTTTTATAACCTTGGAAATATTAAGAATTTTGAATTTTTATTCAATTTTTTTATCCCCCCTCGGAAATTATCGTCAACGGGTAATGTTCCCTTGTATCCCCCTGAGATATTTACGTCGAATGGTTAAAGCTCCCTCAGAATTTTGATATTTCACAGCAAAACCCCTTGGAAATTGCCGTAAACATGTCCAACTTTTCGTATCACCCCTCGGAAAATATAGTCGAATTTTAAATGATTTTATTTTTTATTTTTAATAACCCTTTGAAAAATTTATATTTCGTTTAAGCCCTCCGAATTTTCGTCAATATTTACTCTCTACCCTCAGAAATTATAAAATTTTCACCCCCTTGGAAAATCTCGTCAATGGGGGGGGGGCGGTGTGGATATTAAATGGAATGGCCCTATGCATACAGATGAATATGGAAGTTATAACATTGGCTGCCTGTTGCAGTATAGTTGAATGTCAAGTTCTATTCATAATTTGTCTGTTAGAAAAAGCTGCAAAAAATCCTAGAGAATACCTCATTAAATATTGTATTGTTTGTCAATACATTTTTGCAGACTGACTAATATCAATTTCTAAATCATTAATACTGCTTAATATGACATGTGTCATTTACACTATCATGGCCCATGTGTGTTCAAATTTAAAAGTTGCTCGATGCTGTTGACTGTTGAGAAGTCCGAACTGGGCCATCGAATAATGATAACAATGATATTTATACATTTTTGAATGTTTACAATAGGAGAGCGATTTTATTCATAGCTTTTCAAGGGCATGAAAAAAACTTGGGAATATGATTTAAGTGAGGTACATATTTTCTTCGGTATTCACAACACAAGAAGCTACATATATTGGAAGTAAAATATATCACAATATATTTTGCTAAAGTATAGGTTTGCAAGTTTTTCGTATCATGTTGCACATGCCCAACCTTATTTTATGTGTTGTGTATTTAGGTTTGAAAGAGCTGTTCTATGCTATAGCAACAGTACATAATATCTATACATATCCTATCATACATATCCTACTTCTAGGAAATTGAAACTATTTCCACTAACTAATTGACTGTACAAAACATTATTATAGGGCTGAGATAAATGGTGCATGTTGACTTGGCCCTGTTTACACTATCAAATTTTCTGTGATCACAGTTGGAATTTTGAAATGTTAAATCTTAAGTTTCAAAGTATTTGGTAGAAATATTCAAGGAAACGGAAAGAGGGAACTTTACCACTGAGTTAATTCATCCTGATACTGGCTTCAAAACATTTCGAACTTGGGACCAAAGCAAATTTTCAACTGTAAACATAGGAACTTTGACCAGAATAAATTTCCACACCGGGCCTAATATTGTGTCCTGTTGAATGAATTATCACACTACATAATTGTAAGTAGCTTTTCTGAAAATGTTGCAAAAATTGGAGGATTTTTACAGAATTTAATTATCTTGCAAAAAAACCTATGTTGTTTATAACAAAGAAAGTTGTTATACATTTAAAGATTTGTATTGCATTTTTATTGTTTTGTTGTTGAATATCAGCAAGCAAACTCAAAGAAACTAACAGTATATGCAGCTAAAAGTTTTAGCTGAGAAGGTGTTTTCCACAAAATCAGGGGAAAAATGCCATATCCAACAAAGCTATATAATAAACCCCTTATTATTACTTTTCTTACATAGGTTATACCTTATCTTATCTCTGTCTAAAGATGGATTGGTTTGGTTTACTTGTTCTCTCTGGACTCAGTTGTATGTTGTTCCCTTGTCAAGGTTATACTTTATATGTGTATTTTTCATCTTAAAATATTGTCCTTTCAAAGCCAGCACACTCTTTTCAGGAGTGTTTGATTGCTTTTTCATGCATAGATAAAAATGTAGTCTTTTATGCAACTTATAATTTAAACAGCCCCAGATCCACCCAACACCGTGGAAATTGGTATTCATAGTATTTCAACCTTCAAACATCTGTGGTTCATATTTGCATCCCTGCAACTACTATCAAAAAAACCACCAAAATAAGTTGAAAGCAACTTGAAAGCAATTTCTTCCGCTCTTCGTACATATCTGCCAACTGTAAAACGGCCATTTTCAGACGAGTCGTTTTTGCTCAGTGCAATTTTCAAATTTTTTGTGCAACAAATATTTTGTTGAACATTTCCCTTTGAACATCTACTAAATTGCTACTAAACTAATTACTTTTATGCAACTTTATTTCCCTAATTAACTACTGTAATATACTGTAGTCTATAGGGTTAACAGCATCTTGAAAAATAAACCCTAAATGAATAACTGATCTACTCCCCAGGCCAGCTATTACTCGTCACTGAGAAGTTAGAACCCATGGGCGGTGTTCAAAAGCCTGCTGGTTCAAACTCTTCAAAATTTTAGTCATCAAATAGGTCGAAAAGGTCGTTTCGTTTCCGAAAAGCAACATGTTAAATTTAACCCAGTGGTAGCGTTAAGAACTCCCCCTGACGTCAAGCATTAGTACACACATCAACGTTACTGATCACTTCGCCTATCTTTAAAGATTTTAATATCTTTCTGTCCATCCGAAGCAATGATTCACGAAAGCCTTCTCATCTCAAAACTGACGAGAATGCTATCAATCATTAATTTTATTGTAAAAAGTTGGAGTAGTGTATATACATTTAATAATTATTATTATGCATTACTAATGCAATCTCGATTGTGATTGGCTAAAAACCTACAGATAATTCTCAATGTCTTGCCAACTACAAGACAATGAAAATTTTCCGTAGCCGTAGGTGACGTAATTTTTTGCCGCTAGTTTGTTGTCAATAATGGCGCAGGCTTCCTCTCTAAAAAGGAAATACATAATAAAACAATTATTGAATTGGGTTTTCGCATGATATCGAGAATTATCAAGCCTCAGACAAATTGCATATTACATACCAAACCCACAATATAAGGACTGGCAGCATCTCCTGACAAATATATATATATATATATATATATAATTATATATATATATATATATATTAATATATATATATATATCAGTATATATAATAACTCTTCGTACTCTTCGTGCATCAGTATATATATGATAAGGTCGTTTATGCAACTTATAATTTAAACAGCCCCAGATCCACCCAACACCGCGGAAATTGGTATTCATAGTATTTCAACCTTCAAACATCAGTATTCATTATCCACCTCAGTTTGCATTATCCACCTCAGCTTCGCTTCGGCGAATAATGCAAACTTCGGCTTGATAATTCTCGATATCACACTCAACCTCATCCAATAAGTGTTAATCATACAATACTCGAACTTTTTACTGCAGTTAACTTTATTGAAATATTGTATATATTTAGTATATTGTTTTTGGCTTCCAATATATACGCGCTCATTTTTTATGCTTAGTTATTAAAACAAATTGTGAAATGATATCACACAAGATTATTTATGGATATTTAGGAGATGTTAAGTCACCAACAAGTGGAAACAAAATGACTTTGTTACCAGGATCAACTGGCAAAATAGTGTGGTCATTTGATGATGATATATCTGTTGTGTTTTCACGATCTTGGGCTTTCACAAGTACAGACGGTTCCTTCAGTAACACTGCACTTACACGTATAGCTAATGATGGTAACGCTACAAAACTCGTCAGCTTTCCTGTGATTACAGTAGAAAAACCAGCAACATTGGTTTTAAAGAACGTTAATCGCAGTTATGATGGAAAATACAAGTTAACACTCCAGTCATGTACCGATACTTCTTCTGAAGTTACCATCTTCATCGCAGGCAAGTTCCTTTTAAATTTAAATTTAAATTTTCAAGTTTCACAATCAGGTCTAATGAATGAATGAATTAATTATTGAATTCTATATAACAATGAATTAAAGACAAACGAGCTAAACAAAGTATTGAACCATGGCATAGTACATTACACTATCGTACAGGCAAAAATATACCAGTCTCTCTAAATAGATTTTTTTATTTTAAATACATTGTTGCAGGGTGATCGGCTCACGAAACCGAGACTGCCCATTTGTCGCTTAATTATTGCAACAAGAAATTTGGTAAAAGTTTTCATTTCTATTGAATGCAATGAGTGACTACTATAAACGTAGCTTATTTGTTCACTTTTAAAGTAAATTAGCTTGTAGGTACACCACGTAAATATTTAATACTGCGATGCTTTCGGTCCGTTAACCCGGGTCTTCATCAGTGCAAATGCAGTATTGAATACTGACGTGGTGTACCTACATACAAGCTAATTGCTGCGGAGCGAGCGAGCCTTTTTTTGGGCTGCTTTCCACTGTCGCATTTTATGTACACGCACGTAAAAGCTTAAAACTTTCTAACTTATGTAAATAATTTTATGCGAGATAACCCTATGCATCTATTCAAACGTTGAAATCATAAGTATCAATGCTGCGGAGCGAGCGAGCCTGAAGCGAGCGAGCGTATAGCAGAGAGGGAGTTCGGTAAGAGAGTTGTGTTATTTAGCGTTTTAATTCTATAAATACAGTAACCCCTCGTTACACAATGACTAACTACGTAACACATATACTTTCGGTAATTGGTGTCTCAATATATTTTAGAGAAGCCAAACGTGACATTGAATTGTTCCAGTCCCGTTCCGCTATTGAAAGGTGAAAACTTCACGTGTCTATGCAGAGGTGAAGGTGGAAACCCTCCTGCTAATGTTACCTGGTTTAAAAATGGAGTCAAAATTAGTGATGTTGAGATAGAGAAACAAACGGTAAATCTGTTAAATGTTGGTAGAGCAGATAATGGAACTTACAAGTGTGAAGTCACCAGCTACTCTCATGAAAATTATACCGAGGAAAAATCAATCGCAGTAACAGTTTATTGTAAGTATATACATGCATGTATTTGATATGGGGTAAAGTTAAACACTAAACAATCTTAAAGCATACTATCACTGATACTATTTACCATACTGTAAGTGTACAGCTAGTTCAAATGAGGTTTTTCGCTAAAGTTTAAGATTGCAAACCTTGCCTACTAAGCACATATAGATCGATTGTGTGATTTCCACCTAATGAAAAAAATGGTTGAAAGCAATTCTTTCCCAATCTAAACAGGCCACAGTTTAAAACAGGCATAATTTAGTGAGGAATTGCTTCCTTTACACAATCCGTTTCAAAAAGGAATAAAACGCTCTTTCGACATTGCTTACCTTTTTTTGATTTGTAGTATAACCGTTTTTTAATTCTTCCAATGGGCAACGCGCGCTTTAAACTAAATCGAATCGCGCATCGGAAAATTAGCCAAAGCTCTGTGCACCACAACTCTTGGGAGACAAGACTGGGACATAGATAAATGCAATCACATACACATTTTAAATACTAGTATATTTCGCGCCATTACAGACTTGCGACGACGAAAAATAATAAATAAAAAAAATAAATATAAAAAAAAAGCCGAGGCAAATTCTCAACTCCCGTCGCTGACGCCGGAGTAAAAAGGCGTAACTCGCATGCTGAAAAACTTTATTTTGACAAACCATGAAGTAAACTTTAGTATGAGAACATTATAGACTTTACTAGCTTAAATATAACTTGTAGAATAATTATGGAACTAAACATTCACAAGATATTGGGTACAGAGAAAGACAAAGTGCATGTCGCAAGTTTCAAACTAACTTCTTCCTTTTATTTACATCAATATCTCCTTATATAATTATTATCTATTTAGCTGCAACCTCAATTTTTTGTCCCATGTACACAAATGATTTATCTTTGAATGTATTTTTTGCGATGTAGTAAACTCTGTTCCATTTTACGTTTATGCAAAACAAATTTTAAATTTTACTTTTTTTCAGTGAAGCCAAGTGTGACAATAAATTGCTCCAGTCCAATCAATGTAAGAAAAGGCGATTATTTTATATGTCAATGTATGTGTAATGGTGGCATTCCTCCAGCAAATTGTACTTGGTTTAAAAATGGCGCCCTGATTGGTGAAATAAGAATGGAGGAGAACACGTTAATCCACCGTATTGATAGCGAGGATGGTGGAAATTACACGTGCGTTGGCCGAAGTCACGCTATAGCACAGGATAAAAAATCTGTCAATGTATTTGTTTACTGTAAGTATTTACCCAGAGTAGAATGCAATTTCGTCTGAAATCAAATAAATTCGTGATTACAGAATCGCGCATGCGTAAGCGCGAAACAGAAGTTTGTATGTTTAATTACATGTTTGATTTCACACAAAAATTCCACGACACGAAGTGCCTTTACCACCCTATATATATTATATTAATTTTAAAATCTAAAATAGATTCATGAACCGCAGACTGTAGCGCCTATTTTCTTTAAAATGACTGTGTTCTACTAAACTATATTTTGTTCATCGAATGAATCGATGTGTTGGTTGAATTCTGTGGATGCATGATTTATTGTTGTGTTATGCTATGATAAAATCAATTATTTACTTTTGTGTAATTATTCTGATTAGAATAAAAGATACTTTTTACTCTTCGTAGATACAACGATTAAGTTCTCAGAGAATCCAGCGATATTTAATGAATCTGTAAACATGACTTGTTCATCACATGGGCTTCCGGCACCAAGATACGTGATATACTATAACGATAGTATAGTCGTTGCAAGTATGATGACGTACACTATATCTCGAGTAAACTGGACTCATGCAGGAACCTACAAATGCGTTGCAAATAATGCTTTCAAAAATGATTCTGCTTCCGAATTTTTAAATGGTAAATATAATTTATTTTCTTAGAAGGATTTTTTGCGCATTTTATCACCGGGCAAAACACATATGCATGGCGGAATAAGAATTAAAACACTGCCTGCATGCAGTCCTTGCTCTTTCTATAGGAATCGTGAATTATCTACCCATCCTATCATGTTCTCGTGAAACTTTCACTTATTGAGTTCTTATGAACTTCACGGGAGAAATCTAAGTAATATAGATCGATATACTTAAAATAGATCATAATGCTCTTGTCCCGGTCAAGGGAGGCCGCTACGGTCAAATTCCCTCGATTTAAAAGAAAATCAAGCGAAAAATTTCGAATGATTCCCTAGCCGTAGCAAATGTAGATTTTACTATTAACATCCAGACGAAGACTGCCAACGTCGAAGTTACATTCTTTAGATAGTCAATCTAATCACACCACACTGAATCCACATTTGGAAGATGATTCAATTATGGTTTTACTGAAGTTGTTTAATTTATGATGTTATAGTAACAAAACCTACAAAATCGTCAACAACAATCAAGCCATCGTTAACAACAAGAGCAGCAATACCAAGCTCGAGCATTCTAAACGGAAGAGGTAATAGCAAATAGGGACATGAATTTTAAAGCAAATTAAGTTGAGAAGCGAAGCCACAGTTGACTATTTTCAAACGATGAGCTTTTCCTTTGGGAAGATATAAAAATGTACTGCATGCAGTACACACAGGAATGGCAATTTTTGACATATTGAAAAATTTCATTGGCTTTGGCCCAATCGCGCGCGGACTATTTACTGTCATACCGACAAAAACGACAAGGATGTTACCCAGTCCAAAGTTATCGATGAGCTCGAAGGGCCTAGCTCATGGTACCTCTCTGTTACAGAGCTACAATATATGAATAGCTTTGCTGCACAATACCATATGCAGAATCCTGCATGACCAATGAGAAATAATCGGTATAAAATGCAATGGGAATGCATGTGTCATGTTGTCAATTTTCTTTGTTTCCGTGGTTATTTTGTATATCAAAAGTACGCAGTTATATACTCGATACGATACGTTAATCTGATTATCTCTCTATTTATAACCGCTCTTTAAGCCTGATTCTCATATGTTGGTGATCACTGAAGAATAAAGTGCTTTATTATTTTGAATAAATTTTCTTCGTCAACGACCACAAGCAATACATCGCCGACCGTTGGCGTCGGCGACATATGAGAATCAGGCTTTAGAGGCGAAATTACCTTTGTGTTAAAAACAATAGAACGGGAGGCCGGGGAGGGTATACATCAACAGGGATGCAGTAAGGCCTAGGTTATACGTTGCATTTTAGTCGCATCGAATGCAATTCAAACAATAGATAATGAGATGGTAATGAAACTTAGTGAGGTTAATCATCTCATTATCTATTGTTTGAATTGCATTCGATGCGACCAAAATGCGACGTATAACCTAGGCCTAATTTGTAGTAGAACTTTAGCCTCTGCTTTTAGGTAATAACCAAGGTGGTGATGATGATGAAGATGGACATTCAGAAGGTTTAGGCACTGGTGAAATTGTGGGAATAGCTGTTGGTGTGGTGGCGTTCTTAGTACTCGTTTGTTGCTTGATTTTTTACTGTAAATACAAAGAAAGTAAGTTATTTCATTTGTTAACTCGTAAATTCTGTTAGGCCAGCAATTTCTCCACCATTTCGAGATATAATTTTTTTAAAGAAGAATGGCTTTCAAAATAAAAATCCATCATTCCGGTGAAACCAACTTAATTAAAACCGCGTGAAATTTATAGCTTGTTTTCCTTCCAAAATTATTTTAGATTCTCTGTCATCTGTATAGGATAATACCGAAAATTAAACTAGTTTGGTGAAAGATAATCTACTAATATAACGAGTTGCTTTAAAGAATAAAAAATTTCCCCACAAACCAGCTAGTGAAGCTATCAATTGCCCCTTTTGTATTGGGCAAAATTTTTCAAAAGCAGGCCGACGTTTAGTAGCTATATTAACGATGTTTTGGTGGCGAAGTACACTTGCAAAATGTGAGTGCAAGTTGAAATTTGTTGAAAATGAATCTCAATGGCCATTAAGAAATATTTAAATCCCAGCACGTTTTATGACAAAAATCCGACTTATTAATTCAACTAAATTGCGTATAATTTTATTATAATTTGATCGGTATATACTTTATAAACATTAAACCCTCCAGGTTATTCTTTTGCCTCTTAGCCTAATTACTGTTTTATGATGACTATATTATAATTTATATTTTTTGATGCTTTGTTCGTACGCGATTCTAAATCCTTGTAGTAGGTTTATGCTGTATGTACAATTGTATCAGCCTTCAAAAGTAAAATCCGTCTTCTTTTGCAATTTTTTTACGATTATCTTTTGTTATTTTAGGAGACAATAAAAGGTGGGTTATTTCTTATTTTTAATATAAAATTTTAATGTGTACATAAGGTATTTTTATGTTTCATATCAAACGTTCCTACACGAAACTTTAACTTTGGCGAACTGTTTTTGCTGCATGCACTACAAATTTCACTGTATCATATAATAGGAAACATTGACTTAATTTGAGTAAACTAGCCACATCAATTTCCTTTCATCAATGAAGCAGTGTCGACCTAAAGTCGACCATACATTTACATGCTTTCAGTTATATAGATATTTTCTTGTTCCATACAATTATTTTCACCGTTGCACTCATAAGTGCATGTCACTGTTTTCAAAATGTTTGTGTTGTGCAATTTTAGCGACGTGAATCCAAACGGCTCAAAAGTGATCACAAACCACTACGAACTTGAGGAAGATCAGTTGGAAGGGGGTGGAAACACGGCAAAACCACCCGATAAGGGTGAAGGGTCGCAGAACAATGCAGAACAGAAGCCCCCCGTCTATGCGTCTGTGAATAAAGACGACAGACATAGAAACCCGGTATGTGAAGGGGGAAATCACAATCACTAGATGGCCATGTGCCTTCTGCCAGAATGCATAACCGAAAAAAAAATATTCAAAATTTCACCCAATCATGTTATGTTATGTCGGCACAGTCACACGGGGTCTCCCATGATAAACACGATAGACTGGGTAATTTGCATGGGCGAGTTTAGTAACTTAACGATAGATATAACCAGCCAAATATTACCGTTCTAAAACAGCGGGTTCTAAAACAGGGGGGTCATAAAGTTAGTTGTAAAGATTGATCGACCTATATAATGTGTAATTATCTAAGAGCCTCTTCTGTAAAAGCTATGGTCAAACAATCCTAGAAAAGTTGGATTGTCATGACGAAAATAAGTCCTTTTGAGCATTGGCATAACTTCATAGATTCATAACTCGTTGTCTAAATAATATCACCATCCTAATTTTCGGACAACCAGTTTTGCCTTTTCTCAAGAGCGTCCTATTTTTCAGTTGTATGCATCTCTGGACTCTGAGGCGCTGAAAAGACCGTCACAGAAGAAACCAGCGGAAAACGAACCTAAAAATGTACCAACTGAGTATGCCAGCATCGACTTCATGAAGACCGCAAAGACACCGAATGATGACAGTGTTTCAACCTAAATGTGGTAGCGAGGAGTAAGTAGGAATGTTGCGGGGTAAATTTAGTAGTCTCCATTTAGTCGTACCTGTCTTAGATATTTGTCTCGACAGTTTGCATTCCCTTATCGCGTCATTTAACATCGGTTATCTGCAACGCTCAATATGAGCATTTTGATTGTTCGCTCAAGAGTAAGACAACATATTCAAGGGAATATTAACTTGGGTATAATATATACGCGTAGTTAAGCAGCAGAAATCATTTATCAGTAGAAAAATTTTCATACCTTGTGTGAGATTTTCAATGATGTTTCTGCAACGTGTTGGCCAAGCCAACAGCTTTCATTTTCATAGTCACCAGAGACACTAAACTAAACGTTTTTAAATGCAATCCCAAATGTTTCACAATAGACACTAAACTGCATGTCCTTATAGAATGAAATCCTAAATGCTTCACCATGCATGCACACTAAACTGGATCTCATTAAAATGAAATCCGGAATATCTCACAATAGATACTAAACTTAATGTTTTCGCAATTAAATGTATTGTCATAGTTCAACCATCAATTAAGCCAAAAGTCCAATAGCTGGCCACATGAGAGTTTTCTGCGAGGGCTTTTGTTCCGCAGCAAATATCTTCAAGTTAAAACACTTGGAACTCAAATGTTTCATTATATTGTTTAATATTAAGTGCTCCGTCGTTTAAAAACAACGGGAAATAACGATAAGCATATCTTGTTTGGCACATTTTTAATTGGGGGAAGAATGGTGCATTATAATTGTTAACTATAATGTTTATAGACGCTTTCCCAAAATCTTGTCATTTAAAAAATTGGTTGAGAAAAAGGTTTGATCGATGACATTGATTTTCTAATGGTGAAATCAATGGTGTTATCTGCATGCAAACTGTTTAGCCTCATTCGAGTTATTTCCAAATCCAAGATTATTCTGACCACAGAATATAAACGCGCCTTAATGCTTGCAAATATATATATTGCTCAAAAATTTTGGTAAAGATTAGACTGAAAATAATGAAAACGATATTGTCATTATACATTTCCCTCGATATCACGTATTATGTAAACACACACAGTAGTTTGCTTTCTTAAAGATCGTATTATTTTGGTAACATGAAAAACAGAGTATATATATATATATATATATATATATATATATATATTATATATATTATATATATATATATATATATATATATATATATAAACAATTATTAAGAAATTCTTCGTATGAGATAAAAGAGTGCTCAATACTGCAAGCAAATAGAGCAATATATATTTATTAATTTACATAATTCTTAATCGCTACTCTGAGTTTCATGCCACAGAGGCAATCATCAGGCGACTAAATTTCAGTTCGTTACAAGTTTGATGACGTGCGACTTTCTTGTTTGCGCGTGCGTTTAAAATCTCCTGCCCAGAATATATATATATATATATATATATATATATAATATTATATATATATATATATATATATATATATATATATATCTGTGTGTGTGTATTTGTAATTTGTATTGAATAGCTATATATAGTTTTGGTATAAACGTAATTAGATAGAATCATAATGTATCGACGACTGCTTACTAACGTCTTCGCCTTTCCCGACTTCGACCAATTTATGTTCCCTGGTTCGCACGGGATCCACCATGGTCCATGCTTGTCCTAATGACTGGCTAACATTCATCCACTGTAACAGTTTCTATGGTGGAGTAAAAATTTTTCATGGAAGCTAAAGCAGTGAGAGTTATTAAACATTATCAGCAACGTGCTGCTTGATATAATAGATACAGTTTGTGATTGCCGGCACCTTGGTTTTTTGAAACACGGGATATTAAGTCAATTTTTTATCATTATTGTTGAAAACGCTTGCTTGCGCTGTTAAAAGCATGTTCATTTTAACCAGATTAAAAGAAATATGGCGGAAAGTGTTAGTAAGTTATCGAATATATTTTAGATTATAAGGAAATGCATGCAAGATATATAATAATGTATAATTATAACATAGAATTAAGTGCATCATAATTTGCACAATATAGCTATATACTATATATACTGTATATCACGTACAGAATATGTAAAACATATGTAAAATGTTGTATATTGATTAATTACATTGATTAAAAATCTAAACTTCATCGAACAGCATCAAAAGAGCGATTTATTTGTTCCTCTTGGGGGAATTGCCGTATCATGCGAGCGAAATCGAATCGCGCATCGGAAAATTAGCCAAAGCTTTGCACCACAATTCTAGGCAGACAAAACTGTGACGTAGATAAATACGGTCACATACACATTTCAATTACTAGTGTATTTCGCGCCAAAACACACTTGCGACAGACGAAAAATAAAAAAAAAAAACCAAGGCGACGCCGTCGCTCACGCCGGAGTAACAATTACTTATACTGTATAATTGGTATGTCAATATATTTTAGAGAAGCCAACCGTGACATTAAATTGTTCCACTCCAGTCACGCTAAATGAAGGTGATAACTTCACGTGTCTATGCAGAGGTGAAGGTGGAAATCCTCCTGCTAATGTTACCTGGTTTAAAAATGGAGTCAAAATTACTGATGTTGGAATAGAAAGACAAACATTGAATATCTCAAATATTAGTAGAACAGACAATGGAACATACAAGTGTGAAGCCACAAGCTACCCCCATCAAAATTATACAGACGAAAAATCATGCCAAGTAATAATTTACTGTGAGTATATAAAATACTCGAGAGGGTAGTAGAACATGCAGAAAAGCATAATATAGAAACTAATTAACACATACATATATAGAGTCTAAAATCATTGCGGAGTATGTCAATAAAATATGTGTTTTACAACACTAGCTAAAACAACAAGTCTGCAAATGTAAACCTTGCATGCATGTCATGATAACAAACAGTGCTTGCCTCATCAGGTGAATTTATTCAATTTCTGGATATACTGTAGTATTTTTACAATAATGGTTTTGTTTTTTTGGCAGTTAAACCTGCGAATGCAGTTATCAAATTCTCAAAGAGCCCGGCTGTAATTAATGAACCAGTGACTATAATGTGTTTATCCGATAGGTTTCCTGTACCACGTTTTACTATATACCATAATGGCAGCGAGGTCAAGATTACTGGTCATGGCAATCTGTATAACATATCTAGAGAGGAGTGGAGCCATACTGGAACATACAAGTGCATTGCAAATAATTTATTGGGGAACGATTCCGACTCTAAATTTTTGAACGTTACCGGAAATAAGTTGGTATGACTTATTCTCGTTTTCTTCTCCTGTTAACGGGCAGAAGAAAACATGTGACCTGTAAGCGTTTTATAGGTAAGAGTGTAGCTCGCGAAGAAAACTATTAGAAATCTATTAGAAATTCTTTGTAGCCCAATATAAGTTTTTTTTGTTCTAATTGATATACCATTAATACTTCAAGAGTCTGAATTTTCGAACGTCATTCATATAGCTGTTTCACAATTAGTATCTTTTGACGTGAATTCGATCGATTAGGAATGTTTGTATTCTTTTTCTCTTTTATTTATTGCGAAACCATTACAGGACTGATGTCATCAACCATGCTGCCATCATCGACCATAATGACATCAGAAATAATGGCATCACAAACAGTAACAAGCAGGAACATTTCTCCGACATCTTCAGTAAAAGGTAACACGCCCATATTTTTATGCACATCAACAAACCGAATTACAATGATTGTAATTGACAATTTTCAAAAACTGACGTTTTTGTTTGGATAACTTAAACGTGCATGCTTTCATGGAGAGTCCAGTTTTTTATGATGAATTTCAGAATTATCCGCTTACGATTCATAATGGCATAGTTGATGTTTTATTACT